AAGTTTTGTGGGCGGCGGCTGTTATCGCTGGCATGGACCTGCAGGTAAGTGGCAGCGGCTACCACGTGTGAGCCTCCCCATCCCTTGCCACCACTGCAGAGCTGGCCATGGAGCTGTGCAGCTGGCTGCATGCCAGCCTCCTTGTCCCCCTCCCCTGGGCAGGCAGGCAGCCAGGCATGCATGCCCCTCTTCACTTACCCACAAAGCCCCCTGCATAGGGGCACCCCTGCCCTTACCCCCTGGCCCTGCTCTTAGCTGTGGTGTGCCACCTGAGTCTAGCAGCACCTCCCGCTCCCTCAGCCCCCAACCATCTTCCCCAGTCCTGCCCCACAGCAGCACTTACCTCTAGGCTCCAGGGGCAAAGGGCGAGTCTGAGCCTGGGCCCAGCCTTGAGTGCCTCAGAGGCTCAGGCCCTGCCTTTCTCCCTCTCCCTCCCCCTCCGGGCAGGGCTGGGGATTTCCCGCCCTTTCTGCAATCAGCTCTTGCAGGCTTGTTCCATGTTTTCTAAAAAGGGAAATCCATGTTTTCTCCGATAAAAACAGTGAATCCTTGGTTTTCTCCATTTTTCTGTGGGAAATGGAAAACCTGGATCCCTGCTTATCAGTGAACTGGCTCAGAAGGAGACTGAATACAAAGTAGCACTTGCAGAGGTCAACTGTGGCAGTGTATACACATTCAAATATCTGGAAGAATTCTCCCAGGTTTGTTCGCGGGGTATAGAAAACTTAACCAGAGCCACAGGTACAAACATTCACCTGCTGAAGCCTTGAAAAGTGAAGAGCTTGCAGTGCTGACACTGCAGCTGGGGGAGGAGGGAGGGAAGGGTGCCCCTGTGCACACATTTCAGTGTGCTCTGCAGACTCCCTTAGTCTGCCTGGCGAAAGATGGCAGCAGTGCATACGGCAGTCCTGATAAACTGCTCATGATCAGTCTGGGTTAGCCAGCGTTTCCATGCAGCACGATATGAGATTGTGAAGGGGACATGTTCTGCTCCCTGATGGAGCAGCAAAGTGCAGCAAGTAACACACTGTCTCCTTGAGGAAGGTGAGGGTGCAGGGGAGGGGGAAGGAGAAGGGAGGAATGCTGAAGGACCATGTTCTCTTCTGAGAGAAGCCACTGCATGCACAGACATTCACCCTCTTGGGCGTAATTTAACCTTGGTTGTTCCCAGATTATTTTTCTCTTAGAGTGGCAATTTTCATAAACAACACTGTGGAACTTTACTTAGAACAAAGTTCCTTTCCCAACACTGCCATGATTTTTTCTTTTTCAAAAGGGTCCTTGGAAGAAAAAAATCCTGTTCTCTGAAACAGACACTGGTCAAAGCAGGGTTATTTTTTAAAGTCCTACACACACAGATATTGCATAAATATCCTCCCATGCGTTTGGAGAAAAAAAAAAAAAACTTTTTCTGAACAGATCCATTTTTTCAGGCCAATGTTTTAACATTTTGAAAAAGGGTTTTTATAAAGGGAAGCATGTTGCAACTTAAAGAGGAAGAGGCTACTGCTTCTCTGTAATAGAACAAGCTTGGAGGTTTTCTGTAAAGAGACTTAACCTCTTTTCACCAAAGTAAACATTAAAATTTTGTCACCGGTTTCAACTGAAGCAGGGTATTTCTTTTATATTTCTCATCTAGAATCAAACTTTCTTACCAAAGAAAGGCACACATGGAGGATTAATAGACCTAAGTTTTGCCAAGTATTTCTTATAGTGATCCTCACTCAGCTCATGAGCTTCTTCTAAAATCTTCTTTTGACGACTTGGAATTTGCTGAAAAGACATACAGAAAGGTCAGTTAGAAAGGCTTGGTAATCCAGTGGCCAAACATGAATTTGGGAGCAACAGATGTCACTGGCTTGTGGGACTATAAAGCCCAAAGAAGTTAAGTGATTTATCTAGTTTCCCATCTGTAAAATGGGAAACTAATAAAGAAAAAAGCTACATTGGTGCAGAATATTCAACATTCTACAAGTCATTAAGGAATTTAAAGGTTTTAGAAATACTGTATAACATCAATATTATTAATGAAAAATAACAAGGATTAGAAAGCCTTGATAATTCACCTTGCTGCTATAAAACAGGATTAACATCAGGTGCAAGAAAAGTCCATCTTATATGAACAGCCCTCACTAAACTGGGCCAGAGAGCATTTCCTGGTTGAATCTCATTGGCACAGGGAAACACAAACAGCCCAGTTAGCTAGGGAAGGATTCAGAGGCCTTAGCTGCCTACAGACATTCATTTTTACTGGAACAAAATGTATTCAGGTAGAAAAATAGCCCAGGAGCTGACTTACACAGATGTTCTTCCAGCCCCATGGCAGGAGAAGTTCACAGGCAAGCTCTCCAGCTTGGTGGGGGGCACTGCAGGGTTACTTCCTGGGCCACCCCAACTCTTAGAACCGTGGTTCCCAAACTCTGACAGATTGTGCACCACCAATTTAAAATGATACAACCTTAAGTGCCACCAACAAATTTTTCAGTTCAACCTGAAGTACTACCAGCAAATTTTTGTTATATAAAGTAAGTATAATAAATCTGTTATCTGCGTACCACTGGTGGTACACGTACCAGATTGGGAACCACTGTCTTAGAGGATCCTCCTCATTAATTGGATAGCCTACCCTCTCCCTGCCTGGGAAAGGGGCTGGCTGCCAAGCAGCAGCCGTCACAGACAGCTAAGGAAGGTTCGTGCCACAGGAGAATGCCCCCCCTCCCCCACAATCAGGAGACTGGGGGGGGAGGGGGGGGGTCCTCCCATGGTGGGAACCCTCCCAGATCTCCCCTGCAGGAGAATAGTTGCCCTCCTTGCACTCTTATGGACTGACCCAGAGGAGTGCTGGAGGCAGGGGAAGACTACTAAGATACCACTGCAAGGCTCCAGGAGCCTTACCACAGGGGTACAGCAGCCCGTCTCTCCCTGTACTACTCCAGGCTGACCCAAAGCAGTGCTAGGGGAAGCTCTTGGTCCCACCACTCAGCTAAGCAGCAGGGGAGAGAGGAGAAGGTGGGGTAGAAGGGGCTGGGAGGCAGGCTTTGGAGGCTTCCCTAAGGCTCTAGACTCCTCTGGCTTTTAAAACTGGTTCCTCTTGCTGCTCAGCTGTGTAGCAAGGGAATGGAAGGAGAAGCTGCTGTGGCCAAGAGCTATGCTTGCAAAGCTGGGTGCTGCCAAGAGCTGGGTTGCTGTACATATCAGCTTTTCAACTGCCACCTGCCATTCATCTGAGCAGTGGGGGGAGGCAAGGGCAAGCCATGGGGCAGTGCCTCAGCAATGCCCAGGAGCCAAACAGAGGCCGTAGAGTGGTGTGGTATGGCAAAGCCCTTGTCTGTTTCTCACACTAGGGTGCAGCTGGGGCTGTTCCTCCCCTATATTGACAGGGGAGGGAGGGTAAGGCGGGGAAGAAATATGGGGAAGCAATTGCCTTGGGGCCCAGCACTGCAGAACTGGACCCCAGAGGCCTGGTCCTGCCAGCTTCTGCCCCAGTGCTAGGATCAGCACTGGATCCAGGGCACATGACCCCATGGGTCTGGAAATTTAGCAGCAGAGGAGCAGTGCCACTGCTCCCCCACTGCCAAATTTTCTGGACTTGTGGGGAGCACCATGGAGCAGCTGACATGGTGCTATGGGCCAGATCTGGCCTGCAGGCTATGGGTTGACCACCTCTGGTCTATACCAGGATGGCATCATGCCCCTGCTCACCCATATCCACAGGCACACTCCAAACCCAGAAGTGGGTCAGTGAAGCCAGTCCAGGTTTGAATCCTGTAGCCAATTTCAAGCCCTCAGTCTCTAGCATGCTTGTTAGTGGCCTCCCAGTATTGTCCGAGTGGGCTCACCAGCAAACTTCTGGGCTGGCATATGCCCACTTAAAAACATCTTGGCCAGGACATGCTGCTGCTGCAGTATGGACAAGCCCAAATGAACCCTTCTGGCAGCAGGAGACCATTTCCTATTGTCGGCAGATAGAGGGTTCCTCCACTTTCCCCAGGAACTACACTGATTTTTTTGTTTATGCCTTTCCATTTATCTGATTTTTATTTCCCAACTTATTAGCTGTTGCGTCCTTGGAATACTAACTTGAAGATGCTAGTCATTTTTTGTACCTCAATGTCTGCCTGTCTTGGTCTGCAGTGAATCTGCTTGAGACCTAAGACTGAAATCTTCAACTGCACTGGAAGCCAGGAATACATTTACAGCTCTACTTTACACTTTACTTCACTCCTTTGTAGGGAACTTTGCCTTCGTTGGGGAAAGCAGAAATATGCAACACACTTATTTTTGTGGTACAGTGCCTATTCTGCCAGAGTATTTGCTCTTCCTGCTTTATTGCCCAGGTATGTAATCTAGCTGCTTGCCCACATTGGGCAACCTACGATGCACACTAGAGCCTTGGCTGAACTAAGTCATGACTTTGGACCAGCTGAGAGGACAAAGCTTTCACAATACAAACATAGCTGGGGATACTACATCTGGAGATCTGCTGTCATAACTTGAAGTTTAGTATGCACCTGGAAAGGCACACAATTTGATTTTCAAATACGTACTGATAATTCACTTTACAACTAACCTTACAGAAAAGAAAAAAACCCTCCACAAAGCTTGTTTTACCTGCATAAAACTTGCCAAAATTCAAGTTTAAAGTTTTAACTGTTTTTCTATTAGTCAAAAAGCCTAACAGCTGAAGAAAGCTAAGAAACTTTTTTTTTTCCTTGCCTGAAAAATCCAAAGTGGCTTAGATTAAGTCTTTGCCATGCCTGCTTTTTCCTCAGACCTGAAAAATGCCCTGCATTTGGAACTTGTCTAAGTCTATCCCAACCATGTAGTTGATCCAATGAAAAAGATCACCCATAGAAATCTTTGCCTCTTGCAAGGTGACTAAAAGAATTTAACTTTCCAGAAATATTCATCTCTGGTCAGAAATTATATAAATTGCAGCCCAAAAGGCAAATAAGTTATTATGGAAACTATTAATACAAACTTTAACCATACTACTTGCTTCTTTTGACAAATAAGCTATGAGAAATATATTTACTTTCCCCATAATCTTTCCTTTTGTTTTGAGTATTAACCAGATCTTGTCCTCCATATACTTCCATTTGCTTTTAAATATTTTTTAATAGTTATGAACCTGTGTATTGAAGTTTCTCCTCCTCTTCTTGAGAAACTGCTTTGACTCTGCCTCTCACAGTTTTCTTCCTACTATCTACCTTTCTCTCCTTTATTCTTTCACTCATTTTCTGCTTTTTCCCCTCAATCCTTGCAGTTTGTTCTGTTTCTTTTGATTGGCACATTACCTGCACGTGGACACGGTGAACATCAGGTACAACAGAATGGTACTGAAAGGAGGTATCTAAAGGAACACGATGTTGACCTAACTTTATGCTTGTAAGGAAAAAGCTGAAAACATCTTGTCCTACCTCAAACGTGTGATCCAGTCTATACACAGGTGAGGAGTTCATAGCACTGACAACCTCGAGGACACCATTGAAGTTGTTTAGCTCTTGAAAAACTTGCAGGATCTCAATTATCCGACTTACTACAATTGCTCTTTCCTCCAAGTTTTCTGTTTCTATGATGCATCTAAGAATACAAGCAGAACACATAATTTTGCAAAAACAATAATTAAGTTATAGCACAAAGTTTACCATCCTGAAATGTTTCAACCGATCCAACAAAACTTTCAAAGTAACAGGACAGTTTTAGAAATATCTGTAACAAGGCAAGTCCTATTTCTCAGTTGAAAAGAGCTGGAAAGCCAAACTGCAGCACTTAGCCATTCCCCCAGTAAGGGGGTCCTCTCAAACACTTTCTCCCTCGTTACCTCTTGGGAAGCATCTGAAAGGACCACAATGTCATTTAAAGTCCAGAAACAGAGATTTAAGACAATGACTTACTTTTCAAACCACAAGGTGAGATTAGTAGTGTGTCTTATCATTTTGAGAAGATTGGGAGAATTCATTTCTTTATCTTCCTTTGTCCACACACTTCCCACAAGCTCTGATGGTTGTACAGCTCTATAAAAACCAAAACCAAATTAAAAAAATACAATAATATCCAGTTTTTAACAAAAGCTATTATTCTAAAAACATCTTAATTGATGGATTTAAATTATTACAGGATGACTACTTGAAAAAAATAACTTGGCTAAGTAGTGACTACTATCAACCGTATCAGAATTCTAACTGCATAAATAAAACTAGTATTCTTGTTTACATCACACTGTATATCAACAAAATATACCACTGAGCATATTAAAAATCATTTCCATTCAACAAAATGAAGAATGAAATCTAAATCTTATTCACCCTAATGAGATGTGACCTCCTAATGTCCATGGGTTCCTGTAGCCACAACACTTCACATAAAATCAGAAGCATCTTTACATGTCCTCTGGGATGGGGGAGGGGTGCTTTAATTAGAGCAGCTCTTGGGAACCACTCTAATTAAAAGTCCCTGGAGCGTCATGTGTATTTAGTGTTCTGCACTTCAAAATGGCAGTGGGGGCACTTTAAGTACAGCTTGTTTGAGGAGCTTTTTTCCTGCCACCATTTTGAAGCGTAGGGATGCTGAATACATGCAATGTGGAGGTTGCCGGAGCGTGTTAATTAGCATGCTCGGCTAATTGAGCCTGCTCTGATGCGTGCTAATTAGCGTGCTTCAGAGCACACATCCAGCACATATATAGGTGCCCCAGGGTATGAAGAAAAATGGCTGAAGTGGTTTTCATGTTTCTCAAAGGTCTGCCAATTCTGAAGGTATCAGGAGGTGTTCTTCTGCTGTACAGTTCAGTTGATAGTAGACACTGGTTACCCGTGCTTGGATATATTGGAAACCATGATATACACAGATACTTTTGCTTTGTGATTCATCTTTAGAATCCTTTGCTGCATAGCCAACAACTAAAATACCATATAGATCAAGGGGCTGTACCACTAGCCCTGCTCCATAAAGGCCTACAAAGGACATTTCAAATTAGGAAATATTTGTTGCTTTGTGCCATAGTATCACATGGTACATTTAGTTTTCTAACAATTACCTGTAAAGATCTGACTCGAGTAAAGTGAGCTGTCGAGCAATTTCTATTGGGTGCAAAGTGAGCAAGTCAAAAGTCTCTATATGTCCTGGTTTGCTAATATGCCACTCAATTGCAGGAGGTGAGCTTTCAAAAGTAATATTGTGACTTGGCCCAATGGCTTGTGCCTGCTTTTTCCGGTGGATTATCTTTGTGATTGATTCAACCCATTTCTTCATAGCTTTACCTGGCATAGAGAAACAACATCAGCATTTATTTACCTCTTCATTCTATGAATGACTAAAGAAGCCAATGTACTTTTTAAGTCTCTAGATTTACTCAACAAAATAAATAACACGTAGCACTTTGTACTTCAATAGTAGAAAACAGGTTTTCCTGAGGTCCTGAAAACACTCCCAAATCGTTACGTCTCAAGGCCCTTAGGTATGCACTGAACAGAGTTTAATTTTGTTGCAGATGGACAAGCTGAGGTACATGGAGGTATCACTTGCCAAAAGCTGAACAGTGGTTCCCTGAAAAGGCAGGAAAAAGTACTCAGGGGCCCAATTATCCTGTTAGCTTCATATGCAAGGGCATTTCATGCATGAAGTTGATGGGATAATTAATTGAGCCTTTGAAGTCCTTAACCCCCGATTCTTATGTTGTATGCACCAGACTAGTTTTCCAAATTGCCCAATCTACAGATAATTTGCTGATGGTCCACAGAAAGCTGGTACTCACTCTCCCATTTTCAGCTGCTAAATATATTATACTATAATAAACTATATGCACTAAATATACATTAAATACTTTCCACATTTTACCTTTCCCTGTATGCAACTGCTGCAGCTGCCATACTCATTACTACAAATGAACGGGAAAGGTTTGCTGCATAACCATGAACTGGAGGGATAAGCTGGCCTATGACAGTTTCTCCAGATATGGTTCACAATGCAAATCAGTTGGAGACCTCTGGCTCCAGCAAATAAGGTGTTTTGCAATTAAAGTTTTATGCAAGTTACATCCAACTATAATTTAAGTAGGTGATTACCAAAAAAGACTATTCCATTTGGTTCTTAAAACTAGCCACTCAGTTATTGCCAATTTTCATTTATATTAATCCATTTACAATACACCTAGAACCATGTCAACCAGAGTCAATGAAGACATAATCCATTGTTCTGACTATGAATAGAAATAAATTTTTCTGTTTAAATGATCCATTTACACTATGTTACAGAACGGAAGTCATTAGGAGTAGTCATTTTTTTCTCTTTTCTTTATCCCACAACCATAAGGAAGTATCACCACATAAAGATGTGTAAGACTCAACTTTTGTTTTAAACTGATATTCACTGCAATCATAAATACCTCTTACTGTCCCAATGAATTCTTCCAATCGTTGCAAAAGTTCAACATCTCTCTCAAAGTCATAGAAGTGGTGTTCCACCCAATGCCGACATACATTTAAGACTCTACAGTATTAAAAGGAGAAATTGTAAATATTTTGGGAGAGATTTTAACTCTGCCATCTGACAGTGCCTAGCATGGCCAACCCATGCTGAAGTGAGTAGATTAGTGGATCAAACAGCTGAAGTACAGTTTACGTTTCACAGTACATGTTAACAATAAATTCCAAGATGCTGATTATCCGCCTTACACAGTTGTGTCTCAAAGCTCAGAATAATGCCATCATTTAGAAAAGAAACGTTACTTGGAATGTCTTCCAAACACATTACCTCAAGTCAAAGGCATAGATTTCAGAAGGCCCCTTAGAGAACACTAGTGCCTAATTTGTAATGTAGCAATTCTAGAATCTGGCACAGGGTTTGCCTCTGACTTCCCATTCTGGAGGTCCTGAGCTTAAGTCAACAAAGAGTCTTGGGGAATGAGGTTAAAATAGCTGACCACTAAATTACTGTATCTACAGCTCTACATATCTTCAGAATGACTCTAGATCATAGGGAAAGTGTACCTGCAAATAACTCTACTAACAAGAACTTAATTTTCCTCTTTTAAAAAAAAATTATCATCTAATGAGCTACCAAATACAAAGAAAGAAATATGGTAGTTCTTGGGTACAGAATGAAGAAACAGACCTAGGTTTGCATGCAAGGGGATATAAGTTAGATACAAGTCCTCCCTCCCTACTGTTATCATTATTAGTGGCTCATGACATTCCTACCTCTGGAATTTGCAGCTTTTCTGCAATACTTACCGCAGCTGTACTGGTTGTATGTATTCTTTTCTAAACCGCTTTAACTCTGCACTGGGAGGCTGGTCTCCATTCTCCATAGCCATACGATCAGCTGCCGTTGGCTCAGGCTCTGGAATTTCAAACCTAGCACAGACGGAGCAAACAAAGAGAAGCAAAACTTTAATGAAAATTAGGTAGATGGGAGCAAATCCTTCACTGTTACAATTGCTCAGAACAATTAACGTAACAGTGAAGTTTCTGATTCAGTGAAAGGCAGCTTTGACTTTGACACTGCACAAACCCTGCCCTGCTCATCTAAAAAAAAAAACCAAAACAGGTTTATATCACAACATGAAAAAGAGTGGAACTGCACTTACTTTTACAGTATTTGCTAATACAGATTCCAGAACGATAATAACTTGGGGGCAAGGTTCCCTTGAAAGTGCGTGGCCACGCACAACTAGAAGTGTGGCCATGCATAGCCTTTTCAAGGTCGCGCACCAGGAGAGGCTGAGACAGGAGCCTGGCACGGGTTCCGCTGGCTCTGTGGAAGTGCTCTGCTCCTCCGCATCAGGGCTGGGGAGCGGAGCACTTCCCCGTAGCCGGCGGAGCCCGCACCAGCCCCCCGCCCCAGCCTCCATCCCTGCCTTGCCTCACCTCGGGGAGGAGCCGCTGCCTGCCCCGAGTGAGGCTCCGCCAGCTCCAGGACACTGCTCCTCTCCCCCATGTCACGTCAGGGAGTGAGGAGGCGTGTGGCATCAGGGCCGGAGAGAGAAGCAGTGTCCCAGAGCTGGCGGAGCCTCACTGGGGCAGGCAGCGGCTCCTCCCTCCGGTGAGGCAAGGGAGGGGGGGAGGCCGGGGGCGGGTGAGCTCCGCTGGCTCTGGGGAAGTGCTCCACTCCCTGGCCCTGATGCGGGGAAGCAAAGCACCTCCCCGGAGTCGGGGAGCCCATGCCAGGCTCCAGGTCCAGCCCCTGGTCCCTGGCTCCAGTCCCTGGCCCTTGGCCCCAGCTCCTAGCCCCTGGCTCCAGCCTCCGGGCCCCAGCCCCCTTCGGTAAATGTCCCATGCCAGACCGAGGTGGCACACTCATGGACAGAGGCAGCGCGCTCATGGACTGCTGCTCCTTAAAGGGAACATTGCTTGGGAGCCAGATCCTAAACATAAAGTCCACTTATTTCAATGGAGCGTCATCAAGTTATATGAGCTGATAATTTTTAACTTGATTTTATACTGTCACACTTGCTTTTGAAAACTTTTAAGAGGATGGTGACAAATTATACCCATCTTTAAAAAGTTAAATAAATTAAGAATAAAAAAAATTAATAAACTTTAAAAATCGATACTCTATATAAAAAATGTGGATTTCTACATAAATGAAGAGTTAAAATCACATACCTTTCTATCAGTAGACTCAATAATTCCTGAGGTTTACAAAAGGATCTATATGTTGTGAGAAATGTCCGAACAAAATTGGGGTCTAAGGAATAAAAAAAAAATAATTTTGCTTTCATATCACTGAGTTCCTTTACTACTAATACTTAATAAAACTTAAAATGAACTTTAGCTTCTAAACCCAAGTGTACTTGATGCTAGGACTACTAAGTCAACACGCTGTATAGCATACTCAACAATTTCATTGTTATTTTAGTAACAATTTTGAACTTCCTGGAATGGCAATACAAGGTACATGTCTTAGAACAGGGGTTGGCAACGCCTGGCACACATGCCAGAGTATGGTATGCGAAGGTATTTTATACGGTGGAGAAGGCGCTTGGGCTGCACTGCCACAATAAGGATTGACCCCCTTGCTGCTCCCCTGAGGTATGTGTGCACCTGCCATCAGCAACAAGCCAGCCTGGGGCTCTGCAGACCTTAGTGCATTGGCTTGCAGCTTCTCAGCTGCCTGCCACAGCCAGGCTCTGGCCAAGCCCCTGTCACTCACCACAGAGCCCAGGCTGCTCACAGTAGGTGATGGGGAGGCTGCAAGGAGCTGCACTGAGATCTGCAGAGCCCCAGCCAGGCTCCTTGCTGGTGGCGGGTATACACGCGCCTCCAGGCAGACAGTGGGGAAGGGGCCAGGGCTGAGTTGCCACAAGGAGGGGGCCCCTTGCAGCTCCCCTCCCATCAGAGCCATTCCACTTGTGGGGCCCAGGGCATATCAGCCTGTGCAGGGCCGGGGAAGGGAGGGGTGGTGAGTGGTCCGAGCACAGAGCCAGCAGCATGCAGCAGGGCCTGTACGGCACTGTCCACGGGGCCCCCCTAAAGCACAGGGTCTGGGGCAGCTGCCCCGCTCACCCCCCCACTAGGGATGGCTCAGGCCACCATCCGCCCCTGGTAGGCCAACATCTTACAAGTCGAGGTTGGGGTGTTTCTAGCACTCTGCTCTAAAAAGTTGCCAACTCCTGACTTAGAATCAATTTCAGCTATATTTTGAAGTTACTAATAAAAATAAATTTTGCATGTTAAAAATCATTAAAATAAGTAGATAATTTTTTTGTAACTTTAAACTGCATTTTTATAAATACATGTTAATATATACACCATTCTTTTAGCGAGTCATCTGGTCCACAGTCCTCTAATAGCAGCCACCGCCAGATGATTTTTCAAAAAATGGGCAAGAAACGTAATAGAAGACAGTTACATAATGACTTTCTAATGCCATAACTAGTGTGACTGCTATTGGATTACACTCGTCCAGTTTTAGTTCTAGTTAAAGAGGTCAAATATTTCATTCTTACATTTCACTGACCTTTACAATTTTTTAAAGATAAATTTAAAAGGAAATCTGAAACAGAGACATTTTGAAGATAAAAACCAAAACATTTCACTTAGAAAATGCTAAAATGAAACTGTCATAACCCAGTGATTTTTAGTGCCTCGGCACATTGGAATTTTCCCGCCACATGGAGCTTTCTTTGCACCGTGGATTTCTCAGCTGCAGAGAGAAATCCCCGGTGCAAAGAGTTCCTGCCCCACATATGCAAATTCATACCCCATTATTGGCTGATTCTAAATTATTCCTACGTGGCGTCTAGCATTGGGCTCGTTAGCCGTATAAAAGGTTAGAGCAGTTTCTGCCCAAGTTGGAGGACTCCACAACCATCTCGTGGAGAACTCTGAGCGCGCTGTGGAGCCTAGCAAACTCCGCATGTGTCTTGGAGGACAGAGAGGTCTGATCAGCTCTTAGCCACTCCCCGTTATAGTAAGAATTTGACGCATCTCCCGTGTGAAGCGCTCGTGGAGTTGTACATCGATGACTCATCTCGGTTCGGTGCGGTTCGGAAGAGATCTCACTTGTGTTTGTTTGTGTGCAACTGCAACTCAAGCAAGTTTCCTTCCTGCACTGTGACCATCGGCAGTGAAAGTAAAGCTTTCTTTGTAAAACCAATACGCTTCCGTGCCTAACTCTACTCCGTTGTGGAAAAACCTCATCTGACGGTCCGGGCTACTGGCCATAGCCTCAGACCGACCCTCGGTCCCGACAGAAACATTTTGATTTTTTTTAGATCTGATTTTCTTGAATTGTTTAGCAACATGGACAACAACTCATGAAATGCTTCAGCATCACTAAATCTACATTTTTCACTAAAAATATTTTTTACACAAAGCATTTCACTCAGCTCAATTTCTGCTACTCATGTTCACAAAGAACACTGGAAAACTGAAAGAGGGTTTAGAGAAGAGCCGTGAGAAGAAAAAGATACACTTTTACAGAAAGCTTCAAGGGCTTAAAGTAGTCAGTTTATCAAAGGAAAATTAAGGGATAATTTGATCAATTAGTAAGTATGCATATCAGGAAAATAAGTTTGGTAAGGGAGGGTTTTCTTCTCACAGACGAAGGTGTAACAAGATTCAATAGCAGGAGGCTTAAGCTAAAGACATCCAGGCTAGAAGTCTGGTGCTCATTTTTAGCTCTTGACCACTAGAAAATTTGCCCAAGGCTTTGGTGGTTTAAAATCAAGATGGAATATTTTCAAAAACATATACTCTAGTGCAACCACAGCCACTGGACTTGCACCATAAATTAATTCAAGGAATTCCTAGGACCTATGTATAGTATCCAGAAAATCAGTGCAGAGAGTGAAAATGGTCCCTTCTGGCTTTAAACTCCACTGAGAAGTTAGGCTTGCACACTACATGAGGATCTAAGTCTTAAGTGTTTGTCTTATCTAAGCTCTTAGACTAGATTGTCAACATCAGGGTTACACATTCTGCTTTGGAAGGACAGAGCTGGGAGAAAAGGTAGTGGTGTTGTCTTGTATGTCAAAAACACATACACTTGTTCCCTGGTTCAGGAGGAAGACAAGAGCAAAACAGAATGCATTTAGGGGACAATGAAAGGTGCAAGATGCAGCACTGATACAATGGTGGGGATTTCTTATAAGCCACCTAACCACAAAGAGGAGGTGAATGAGACACTTTTCAAGCAGGTGGCAAAGTCATTTAAAAGTTATGGGATGGTACGGATGAGAGACTTCTTTTCTAGACTTCAGCTAGAAGAACAATGCAGCCAGACATAAAAATGTCAAGCCAGTTCCTAACTTGTATGGAGGGTAACTTTCTGTTCCTGAAAGTAGGATACAACTAGGGGATCATCTATCTTGTCCTGAACAACAGGGAAGAATTGGTGGAGGATGTGAAGGCAATGAGTAACTTGGGAGGAAGCAATCACAGTATGACAGAATTCCAGAGTCTGGGACAGGGCATATAAGGTTAGCAAAATTAGGACTCTAGTTTTCAAAAAGGTAGATTTCATCCAACTCAAGGAGTTAATAGGCACGGTGTTATGGGAGGATAGACTGAAGAATAAAGACACCCAGGAGGACTGAGGCTTCTAAGGGGCACAGTATAGGAAACCAAACATGAAACTGTTCTGACACAATGGAAGCACAACAGGAATGGCAAGAGACCAACGTGGCTTTACAAGAAGATTCTAAAATGCCTCAAAGGAAAAAGAAAAGCATACAGGCAATGGAAGAATGGGCATGTCATCAAGGAAGCATACCAGGAAATAGCCAGGATCTGGGGGGACAAAATCAGGAAGTCGGAGGTAAAGAACAAGCTGCACCTAGCAGAGGACGTTAAGGACAAGAAGAGGTTCTGAGAGTATGCTGACCACAGAAGAAGGACCAAGGAAGTTGTGGGTCCTCTCTTAAGAAGCCAGGGGGAACTCCTAACTGAAGATACAAAGAAGGCAGAACTACTCAAAAGCTACTTTACAGCAGTCTTCACAAAACGAAGACGTTTCAGCCAAACATCAAATAAGGATTATCTGGATAAAGAAGGGGGCAAGCTGAGGGAAGAGATAAGAGACAGTCAGAGAGCTTCTGTTGGGTCTGAATGAATTCAAGTCAGCAAGGCCAGATAAACTTCATCCCTGGGTCCTGAAGAAACTGGTAGAGGACATCTCAGACCCCTTGACAATGATCTTCAGGAAGTCATGGGAGACAGGCCAGGTACCAGGAGACTGGAAAAGGGCCAGTGTAGTGCCCCTCTTCAAAAGAAAAAAGGAAGGAAAAAAAAAAGCAAAAAGGAGGGCCCAGGGAACTACAGACTGGTTAGCCTCACCTCAATACCTGGGAAGTTGATGGAGCGTATCTTAAGGAAGGCTATTTGCAGCCATCTGGGGACTGATCATAAGTAGCCAGCATGGATTTATTAAAAACAAATAATGTCAAACAAACCTGATCTCCTTCTTTGATAAAGTAACTACTTGGATGGATGAAGGAAATGCTGCGGATATAGTGTACCTGGACTTCAGCAAGACTTTTGACAAGGTCCCGTATGACCTCATAACAAATTTGGAGAAATGGGGGCTGGACAAACCTAAAAGACAGAGAGGTAACTGGCTCAAAAGCCACAAGCAAAGGGTCATTATTAACAGGTCCATGTCAGAATAGGAGGAGATTTCAAGTGGAGTCCCAGAGGGGTCCGTCCTGGGTTCGGTGCTGTTTAACGTGTTCATTAATGATTTGGATGCTGGCACAGACTGCTTGAGCAAGTTTGCAGACAACACGAAACTGGGAAGGACTGCCAACACATTGGAGGATGAGAGCACAATTCAGAATGATCTTGACAGATTGGAAAGTTGGGCTACACTTAACAGGATGAAGTTCAATGCAGACAAGTGCCAGGTGCTACACCTTGGAAGGAATAATAAAAACCCCCCACAAATATGAAATGGGTGACACCTGGCTGGACGACAGTACTATGGAAAAGGGGTCGAGAGTCTTGGTAGATCACAGACTCAATGCGAGTCTGCAATGTGATGCAGTCACATAAAAGGCAAATGCAGTTTTGGCATGCAACAACAAAAGCATTAGGCGTAAGACATGGGAGGTGATAGTGACTCTTTACTTGGCAATAATTAGGCCTCATCTGGAGAACTGGTTGCAGTTCTGGGCTCCCCATTTAAAAAAAAGGACATGGAAAAGTTAGAAAAGGTTGAATGGCTTGAAGTTGCAGCAAAGTAGGTTT